ATTATAATGCTTTGACGCAATTTTAATTTTGTCCGAAAATAATGACTTATTTAATATAATTCGTTGGAGGCAAATATAGCTCATAATTGCAATCCATCATCTTATTGCTAACCAAATTCTGATCTAAAAACAATGTGCTGAATGACAATTCTTTAAGAAGTAATGGTTATATTCACTCAAGATTAATAACAAATATGCAAATGTGGAAATGGATTATTCATGCAAGATATGTTCTAAGATATGCTATCTTGAGTGAATATAACTTATTTAATATAATTCATTGGAGGCAAATATAGCTCATAATTGCAATCCATCATCTTATTGCTAACCAAATTCTGATCTAAAAACAATGTGCTGAATGACAATTCTTTAAGAAGTAATGGTTATATTCACTCAAGATTAATAACAAATATGCAAATGTGGAAATGGATTATTCATGCAAGATATGTTCTAACTAATGAGCCTCAATCTAATTAATGAAAATTTTTTATTTGCCGACTACATCATTCTCATGCATTTATAACTGATTAAATAACTGATTAATGTAATCTGAATACTAGTTACTATTTACAGTAAATTAAGTAGTACAATGTAGTATATCTGAGACTGCAGATGAAAGAAAAGTTTGCTACAAGTTTTGAAGAAAAACGTGTAAAACTGCGCAGAAAATAGAACTTGTAAATCAATTAATAGAAGAAAAATATTTTGGATTAAAGTGGAAGAAGAACTAAGCAAGTTTGGAAAATTTTGTCATGAAATTAAGCGTAGTCTTGAAATATAAATATTTCTTTGCAGTAGGGAAAATCTTTTCTAGTTTCAATACCTCTGAGAAGAATAAGCTGAAGATTCCAAGAATTTTTTAAAGTTTTTTCAAACAATATGCATTTATTAGTTTATTAGCTAGTAAAAATATTAATTATGTTGAAAAAAATAGGTCTAACAGTTACTGTAAGCTTGACAAGAAGATTATAAACAAGTATAAAACTACTTTTAAATTAATTCAGATAGAAATAAAAGAGGTTAAATGGGATTTTTCAGAAGCGCACATTAGAAGACTTTCTGGGAGACTTCTTGCAGGCACGTATGATCGCTAATGCAAATGGGAAGGCTGCCAGATTAAGGAGCGAACATCCGTTTGCTGTAAACTTACAGTAAGTACTGATGTGTAATTTTATTTACTGATATACGTAGCGCGAAATAACATTTATCCTCTTTGTTCTGTTATATCAGTTAGTGCGCGAAAATGCTATTTCAGTCCATCCAATACCGCATTTCCGCTTTTTGCCACATTCAGCCCTTTCGATCTAGCAAAGCAGAATGCTCTTGCAACTAGAGGTCTCCTTCAGACTTGTTTCCTTCTTTTTATGCAAAAAGAGTACTTCTCTATTACTTTCTTTTTTCAAATTTTGCATAAATGATTATGAATTCTAAGCAAAATTTTAAAATAGTATGAATTCATGTAATTTGTTGCACAGAATAAACAGTTTCAGTTTCAGCCGTAGTTCATATCATTTGCGTCACCAAACTTTGTGCTTTTAATTTTTTAACCGAAAAGTGAAAGAAATGCTTCGAATTCAGATGCTTCAAAACTGTTAACAAATTGGCTGCAACGTTTGCGTGCTGATCCCTTAACGTCATTTTCCTTGCCAGTTGCAATGGAAAGCGTAATAAAGCCATCAGCAATTCTGCAAACGCATCCTTTAGCAATCAATTTAACTCGTATCGCAAAATATTTAGAAGATGGCGGTTTGTTAAAGGTTTTTGATTTACGTCTTCTTGACTGTTTTTCAGAAAACATTTGAAATTCTTTCTTAAAATTTCAAAAAAAATGTCTAATACATTTTCAATTTGAAAGGAGATCTATGATTTGGACTACTTATTGCATAAAATATTTAGTTTGAAGAGTTCATAAAAATAAGATCTGAGTAATCATCAACTCGCTTGACTGTGATCAATTTCTGATAATTGTCGAGTTTGCCGTAAAGAATTAATTATATGTAAAAACAGGTTACTTACTCTTCTCCAACTTGCCCTATTTGTACATATTGAATCATTACGATACGATAATTTGCATTAATTGACACCGAGTATGTGTGTGTTTCGCTTATCATATCAATTATGATAACTTGCATTACATGCCAGCTAATATCTTGCCATATTTGACAAATACTCCGAATGTCTCACACTTTGCAAGTTATTATCTGAATAAGTCATTGCACAAAAAATTAATTGTCTTGCAATATGTCAAAGTTTTACCACAGTTTTCTCTATTGAATATTTTAGTTTCATTTCTTATTTTTTTAAAATATGCATAAAATTTTCTTTTGCTTAATCTATGAATTAGCAAAACTTCTGACTAAAAAGTTATTAATTACTGCAATATTTAAAAATTTTAAATTGCAAGAATTTTAGCATGCAAATGTTTCAGAATGTGAACTACGAAAGAAAAGATTACGATGCTAATTTTAATAATTATGGCACTGAGATTAACCATCCCAAAACATTGATTTCTGCTGAAAAAGATCGATCTAAAGAAAGTGCTTCTGAAGAAAGCATTAAAATTGATAATAATTCTCGAGGTGGTTTTCTTTTCGAGTCAATAACTATAAGAAAGAATTCCTCAACACAAGAACAATGATTGTTTTTATTAGCATAATTTTTGAATACAAAAAGTTTTATTCTTATTTTTTGAAAGACCTAAATTAAATAAATTTTAATGTGCTATAAAATTGAACTAATAAAAAAAGCAACAAACTGCTTATTTGAATTAGCTGATATTTGCAGCATAATTGCATGGAATAATTTTCTTTCAACATTATCTATTTTTTGTCGAAGTGAGCTACTTTTGTGACCTTTTCGAATAAGTTTAGCATTACAAAAGTTTTTACGATTTAAGTGTGCTAAGAAGCATCTCAGAATGTTATTTATTGCATACAAAAGTCATAGCAGTGATTTGGCGTCGACAGAAACTCATGCACTGTAAACTTTTCTTTTCGTTGCTAGGAAATCTAAGCTCTTGAAAAATTATCACAAGCAACCAGTTTTTCTTAACAAAACTTTATATCCACATCAAATATTTAATTAATTATTATTTGATATTTATTTATCATTTAATGATGTGTCATTGCTATTAACAGAAATTTGTGGGAATAATAATGCAGTAAGAGATTATTAGTAAGTAGAAAATGAACTAATCATTCCATAATTAATTGAAATTTTGCAAAGGAGTCAGCCTTTATATATAAATTAATTTTAGCAATAGCAATTATTGTTTCATATCTCAGAAAGCAAAACTATCAGGAATCGCGAGGCTTCAGAAAACG